CCCTGACCACACGCTCCGTGCCCGCCCTGACCACAGGCTCCATGCCCGCCCTGACCGCAGGCTCCATGCCCGCCCTGACCCCAGGCTCCATGCCCATCCTGACCCACAGCAAATCTCACCAGCATCTCTGAAAACCCCTTCGGGAGTTGGATAGTTTCGTTGTGTGCCTGACAGTCGTGCCTCAGAGGCTAGGCAGCCGTTCCCTAGGCACACAACGCTCTGACCGTCCACCCTTCTTCCTTCTGTTTGCAGGTTTCCCTGTGAACCGTGTCTCCTCAGCGAGACCACAGCGCCCTGTATAGAACAGTGCTTTCTGGGGCTGGAGAGATGGCTCAGTGGTAAGCCCACTCTCTAGGCAGGAATTCAGAGGACCTGAACTTGAATCCACACAGAAGCCAGGCATGGCTGTGCATGCCTATCATCCAACTGTTAGGGGGTGGAGATGGCTCCAAACACTGTGAGCTTCCAGTGTAGTGGGAAGGCTGGGTAGAGCGGCAAATGCCGTTACCCCCAGCCAGCGCTCAGGGGCCCGGTGGAAAAGAAAATGGAGAATGATAATGGGAGTCATCCAAGCCTTCCTTTGGCCTCCATATATATTTGCACGGGTGTATACACACCCAGGTGCACCCCCACACTGGACAGACCTGCGTTTTCCACAGAGCTCCCGCTGCTGCTTCGTGTGTTTCACACTTACCTGTTCCTGTGTTCGTGTGATCCTCCACACTGGGCTGTGAGTTCCAGGCGGGTGGGGCAGGGTGTCTTCCCTTTTCTCCCTCTCAGGGATGGAGCTTTCTGACCCTGGAGTAAAAAGGCCAGATGGCCGGCTCTGCCAGGGCACTAGATTGGGGGCTACGAGCTGAAGCTGGGCTCCGAATGGCCTGAGGGGCCCAGTAGGGTGGGAGCGGAAGTCCTGGTGTGGGTCTGTTGGATGGTGGAGGAAGGAATGATCTAGGCAGCACAAGGCTCTTAGGAGCCAAAGGATGCTAGGCACACGGGGAAGCAATCTCCAACCCTGCCTGGGTGCTGGGGGGTTTACAAGGCAGAATCCAGGTATTATTAGCTGGGGAGCCTGAGGGGAGGCACCTTAATGGAGGTCACAAAGGGACTAGGCTTGGAAGGGCAGCGCTCTGCTGGTGCTCAGGTACACAGATGAGATTTGAGGGGTGCAGAGCTCACTGGGCTACCACCTCATGGTTCTGGGGGAGGGTGAGATAGGGATAAGCCCCTATGGGTGGTGCAGGGCACCAGACTGGGGGAGATCAGAAAGCCTTAGGAGGAAAGGGACGAGAGGGTGGGGCAGGGCCAGACTTGATGGTGAGCAGAGAAACAGGAGGACTTGAGTGAGCAGGTAAAGCTTGCTCAAGGGCCCCAGCCTGGCTCCACGTCTAACTCTCTAAACCGCTTGATCAGCTTCTCCCCCAGTGACTATAATATTGTCTCTTGCATCTTTCCTGTTCTTATAATAACAGTGGGAAGGATGTGACGGGGCAGGGGGAGATAGGGTGAGTGAAAGGGGAAAGGCGGTGCGTGCGAGCGTGCATGTGTGTGTGTGTATGTGTGTGTGTGTGTGTGTGTGGTCAGTAGTCTGTAATGTAAATTGTTACAGCAGACCCACATCCATGTAAGACACCATCAACCCCGACCAGAGGGAGCAGGTATCACTAAGTGTTGGTGGCTGACATATGCCCACATTATAATCCCAGGAACCTGAGAGCTGACTGTGTGGGAAACGCGTCTTCACAGCTGCATTGAGGGCCTTGAAATGAGATCAACCTGGGTTAGTTAGCTCTGAGCTTGAGGTCGGGCGGAGGCAGCCTGAAGTACTGGGGATGGCAGAGCCAGCAAGAGTAATCCTGGGGCTGAGATGGGCAGACCTCTGGGCTCTAGTCCTCAGCTTTCCTACCTGCTAAGGAATTCTCCTGCGGTCTTAAGTCCCAGGCTGTGACTAGAGGCTATACCAGCCACCGGGCATTTGCACAGGAGGAGCAGAAGGTGGGAGACTGAGGAGACAGGGCAGGGCAGAGCAGAGGTAGTGCAGAAGCTGCCCCACCCCCACCCCGCAGACCATTCCCAGTTGCACCTTTGCCAGAAGCAGAGTTTCACAAGGCAATGGGGGACCCAGGGTCACATGCAAGATGAAAGCCAGCTTCATTTGCCTGCAGCTGTGAACCTGAAGGCTTGGGAATTACACTGTCAGCCCTTGGAGGCCTTTTAAAGGTGTGGGGAGGTTGTGTGGTGGTGAGGACCTGCAGATCCTGGGGGGTGTGCTGGCAAGTCTATGCTCAAGGGAAACTGAGGTAAGCCAACTTTCCTGTGGTCACCGCATCAGGAAGTAGCAAGGTGCCATGGAAGGCCAGGGGATTGGAGGCTTGGCAGGGAGCTCCCAACTACCCTGGACTCTGGAGTTGTCTTCCTCACAGGCTGGCTGGCTTCTGTGTGATTTAGGAAGCAGCCTGTCCATGGAATGGATGCTTGTGTCCAAGAGTCTGGATTCAGGACAGACAGGTGCCAGCGCAGAGAGCTGTGACCTGAGCTGAAAGTGCCCTGGGGCCACCAGCTGGCAGGACCAGGGAAGGCTGGGCAGCAAAGGCTGACTGGTCAGGGGTTGGACAGAGTTCTGGTAAACCCATTTGATGGGGAGACTGAGGCTTGGGACTCTGAGCATGCTCTTGGGATACCCAACAAGTGCTACTTTGGGGCCCCATTTAACCAACTGACTCCTCAAGGGGCTCAGCTACCACCTCCCTGGAGCCCCCCTCCCCGCTCTACCTCCCAGACTCTCGACAGACCCCACTGGCCCTCCAGCCTCAGTTTACCTGATGATAAGCTGCTGGCGGCAGAGCTGGTGGAAGGGACTACTGGTGGGGTGGGGGGGAGGCACAGTGCAGCTGGCCATCCCCCAGGGGACCCCACCCCGATGAGGCAACAGAGGATCTGGGGGACACGGATACAGGTGCCTGTTTGTTGCATCACAAAGTCCTGCCTGGTTTCAGTCAGTGGGGCAGCCTCTGGTGGACTGGGGTGTGAGGCCGGACTGCCACTTTGGTCTGAGCTAGTTCCTAGCGTCTGGGTAGCTTCAGCAGCACACCTAAGGGATGAAGCATCCTGCTAGGTGGGCTGAGGCTGGTGGGAGCTCTGGTGTAAGCAATCCAGGCCCCAAATGCCACTGACAGCCCAGCGCACCATGTAGGACCTGCTTCCTAGAGCTGCCTGCAAATGGTAGGCAGGTTCGGGAGTGTGTAGGACAAAGGCAGGTTTGGAGGAAAGACAGGAAAGAAGGGAAGAGGGGACCCACAAGAACGTGTGAAAGGAAGGAGAAAGTGGAGGGCAATGTGGGGCCAGACAGAGGGAGGAAGGAGGAATGGAGGGAGAAGAAAGAGCTAAAGGAGGGAGAGAAGAGGAAGATGGGGGGGGAGGAGGTAGAAGGGGATGAGGGAAAGGGGGAGCTGAGAGGAAGAGGGAGGAGGAGAGAAGGGGAGGATACAAGGGAGGGGAAAGAGAAGAAGAATGGGCAGAGAAAGGGTAGGGGGAGAACAGAGGTGGAGGAAGGGGAGAAGGGAGAGGAAGGGAAGGGCTGGGAAAGGGAAGAGGGGGAAATAGGGAAGAGAGAATAGGAGTGGGGTAAAGAGCGAAGAGACGAGGGGGAAGAGATAGAAAGAGGGAGGGAAGGGAGGAGGGAGAGAGAAGGTAAGAAATGAAGGAATGAGAAAGGGGAGAGAAGGAGAAGAGGGTGAGGAGGAAGGGGGAAGGGAAGGGAGGTGGGAAGAAGAGAAAGGAGGGAGAAAGGGAATGGAGGGGGAAAGAAGAGGGAAAGAGGGGAGAAGGGGTGGACTGGGAAGGGAAGAAGGGATAAGGTGGAGTAGGAGGAAGGAAAGGGGGTGGTAAATAAAGGGGGAAGGTGGAGGGGGGAGATGGGAAGAAATTGGGGAGGTAGGAGGAGAAACAGTGGAGGGGAGGTTAGAGGTTGGGGGGGATGGGAAGAGAGTGGGAGAAGAAGGGGGAGACTGGAAGAAGAGGAGAGAGGGAGGTGGGAAGAGGGAGAAGAGAGGAAGGTTCCAGAAAGAGGGAGAGGGAAAGAAGAGGGGGTTGACAAAGGAAGGGAAATGTGGGAGGAAGGAGGGGGGAAGGGAAAGGGAGTCAGGGAAGTGGAGAAAAGAGGGTGGGGTGGAGAGGACAGAAGAGGGAAGGAAGGAGGAGAAGATGCAGACGGGTGAGCAGGAGGGAGGATTACTAGAAGGAGTGGGGAAGAAGAGGTAGAGCGGGAGAAGGGAGAAAGGTGGAGTAGGGTGGAAGAGGGAAGGGGTAAGGGAGAGGAAAGGATGGAGAAGAAGGGAAGGACAGGGAGGCGGGGCAGAAGGAACTGGAAAATGGAGAGGGGATATTGGGAGGAAAGGACGATGGGAAGGAAAAGGGAGGAAAAGGGAAAGGACAGAGAAGGTGGGGGAGGGAGAGATGTAGGAGGTGCAGGAGAGGGAGTGGGAGGAGGGTGTGGGACGAGAGTGTGTGGAAAAAGGGGCTATGGGAGGATGGGGGCTGTGGGAAGAGGGAGGCTATAGGAGGAGGGCTGTGGGGGGGTTGTGGGAGG